TAACTTCTTAGAACTGATCTTATCTACTTGACATTTTTCATGGGTTGTCTCTTGCCAGAAAATAATGTTTTGCAAAAGTGGGAGGCCAACTGCACAAGGCAGTTGGTTACATGACGGGGCGAGGGGAGGGTGCGCGCAGAGAAGGGAGGGGTTAAAAGTCTTTTAACTTGATATTTTCAAAAGATGCTTGGCTTAGAAACATCCATGAACAGATTCTGATACTCGTACTTATGCTGAGTCTGACCTTACTCCACAAGTGGGCTCATTGAAATTCTCAATGAGTATGAGTGAAGGGTTAGAAACTGGTCCTAAATTTGTTGCATTTTTCTTCAGTTAGAACAACTGCCCGAGAGTAATGCAGCCAATCCCCCTACAGGATAACACCATGAATCCGGTAGCCCAGCAAACCCTTCCAAATGCTTAGCTGTGTACCAAGTGAATGACGATCTCAAAGGCAAGCACTGTGGACATTTGAAACTCTATTCACTACAGGCTTGGTAGGTTTTCAGCAAATACTCACTAATGTCTAGTACAGGCTAATTCGTATGTCTCTGGAGACCAGTCCTGTGGCAGATATAAGGTCATCTTAGTCCCCCAGGACTCCAGCTCTATACTTCTCTACTGGAAGAAGAAAGTCTTAGGCCTTGGCCTCACAGGTGTGGGACTTAGCTCTGCAGCCAGATGAATTTTAAAGCCTGGCATTGAAACCCTAGAAATCCATAGTTAAGTTTCCACAAAAACCTTATTTCCCTGTCATTGTATTCCATACTTACCACCAGATGGGAAATGTCTGTTACGGGAGGCAGTTGGATCCCATTTTCATAGTTAGGAGACCAGGAAAAGGACTGGCCTTTGTCAAAGCTGAGAAGACTGTAGGGGCAGAGATGTAACACAATTTGAAATTTGTAAACACCCTGTCTTCCTTCACACTCCTGCCATGCTTGTATATACAAGCAAAACTGTTTTTTCAAGCACCATATGACCACTAGCACAGCAGGTTCAAGTGGATACAGATCTAAACATGTTAAGAAAACCCCTGATGCAGAACAAAAAAGCCCTAATTAACCATTATACAGTATGGTGCATACACAGCTATGTGTAGGAATCATCTCACCCCAGTGAGATCTCTGGGCATTAAGTAGAACTGTACTTATGCCACCTGTAAGAATTAACAGATGGACAAACTCTTCAGGGCTTACATAAAAGTAATTAAACAAATCCTCATAACATTCACATGATTTCTCTTGCCAGTCAGGGCAGCTTGTAATAAAACGTCGCCACAGGGTTGGAAAATTCTAAGTCACACAACCCAGACAGCATCCCAGAAACCTGGCAGAGTGATGCTTCAGGCCTGGTGTTAGCTCACCTTGTCCTTCAGGATATTTAATTAACCACAGCCACAACCTCAGGGAGGAAAATCTGGAGACAGAGTCCCCATTCTATTCTCTGGCAGGCTCAGACAAAGGGAAAACTCACCCCGAAGAAAATCTTTTGAGTGCATCCACGTAATCTGAATTCAGAGGCAAGATTAACCCAAGCATTGTACTTTTCTATACATTTCTAGACCCTGAACTCGGCCCAGAGGAGTTAGGAGAGATCTGTTCGATGTGGAAATGAAGTTCACACGATTTAGTAACTTGGGAGACTTCAATCTCCATGTAAATAGCACTTGGTTACAGCAGGCCAGCCCACTGTCTGAACTCTCCACTTTGCAGGTCATCATCAGACCCACACACAGCTGCCCATATTGCTAACTGCCATCTGAGGCTGGAGGTGGACACTAGAGACACAAGAATTGCAACCCTGCCCCAGGCAGAAATAAGAATTCTCCTCATACAAGGCAAAAAGAAACCAACCACCATGGTCCATCCCAGCAACTCCTGGACCCTGCTGAATACCAAAACACACACATAGGAAACTCTACTCATCCAAGAGGGCAAGGAATAGAAGAATAAGTGAATACTAAAACTACTTCCTGACTACAGCTACAGCACCCCACCTATGGGGAACGTCCCCCTAGGGTGTTGCAGAGTAATGTTGGGGGGGGGGCATGGTGGGCCCAGGTCAACCCCCATGGGGGATGGGGAGGAAGCACCACCCAGTCCCGCTCGGTGCCCACCGCTCTGCCCCCTGGCTCCCAGCTGCTGCTCCCCTCCCACCCCCAGCCTCAGCCCCCAGCCACGGCTTTGCTCCCGGCCATGGCTCCGTTCCCAGCCCAACCCTTCCCCAGCCGCAGCCCCAGCCCCCTTACTCCTGTCTGCGCCCCGCTTCCACCTCTCCCCCCCCGGGATCTGAGGCCCTGCTCCTGGCCCCGGTTCCCCGGGGAGGGGAGGGACTGTGAAAAGTTTGGGGACCACTGAGCTACACACACATTATCACCAAAGTGCCCTGTCCCAGCCCTCTGCCTGTGGAGACCTCCATTTATTTAATCAGATCTGCAACTAAAAAAAAAAAAATCAGAGTGAGGAGGAAGAAAGCTAGAGCTTGTGGAAAATGTGGACCAAAGACAGTATTTATTGTTCTGGTGTATGATCTCCTCCTGCCCAGAGACAAGGGAAATATCATATACACTCAGCCTGCTGGACCTCCTTAACCTCCCCATGGCATTAGACACCACTGATTACCAATTTCCTCCTGTCTTCAAGAAGCTGCAGGGGTGAATGAAGAAGTTCTGAACTAGCTCAGGTTCTCTCTCTCTCTCTGTCTCTCAGAGTGAACCCAGAGGGTCACTTTGGACAAGTGCTGCACCACCCACACAGTCCTCATCTGAAGATTGCTGCGAGGTTCAGTCAACCTTTCTCCACTCAGTATTTGTGCCTGGAGCTGGTAAGACACCGTGGGCTGAAGGACAAGCAGCATACAGATAACACTCAGATACTTCCTTTACATCACAGTAAACAGCATTATTCCCCAGCTTGCTCAATGCTCAGCCAAAATCCACACCTGGGGAAAAAGCAGCTCACCAAAGCTCACCTGAGGGGAGGGATAGCTCAGTGGTTTGAGCATTAGCCTGCTAACCCCAGGGCTGTGACCTCAATCCTTGAGGAGGCCATTTAGGGAACTGGGGTAAAAATCTGTCTGGGGATTGGTCCTGCTTTGAGCAGGGGATTGGACTAAATGACCTCCTGAGGTCCCTTCCAACCCTGATATTCTATGATACTTCAAACTAGCCTTCTGTGTGATGTGCCAGGCCCCTCAGTTTGAGTAGTTTCACAGCCTTGGAGTACTTGGTTCCTCAAAACAGGGTTTCTGAAGAGTTCAGTATACTACCAGCAAACTCCTTTTAATTGTTAATTTTTCTGGTAGCAAGGTCAGCAACAGAAAGGAGAACAAATGAACTATGTACTCTGCTGCCACCATATGGTCACAAACTGCAAACACATCAGACAAAGTAGCCCACTGGAATGAAAGGCTTTTCAACCTGAGAAGGGCCAGATCTTTGGCCCATGCTAACTTTGGCCCTGTGACACCATGAAAGAAATACAAAGGGACCATGAAGTACTCAATTATACCTTGCATCTCCCATCTCCAAAGGGGGCATACACAGGGACTGGGGCAATTTAAAGCAGCCTTCGGACCCTTCAAATTTTAAAAGAAAAAGGATGCAAATCCCAGCATTAGCATAGCCAAGCTACATGCAGTAAAAGCCTCCTTAGAAAACATGCATTTCAGAGTGTGCAAAGTAATCCAGCCTTAACACTATGAAAAAAATATCAAACTACTCATGTGGGAACCTCAAAAGGTTCAGAGTATATTATGAATTAGTATTCAAAGTCTGCATGCTTCTCCAAACATTATCTGAGTTACAGCTACCAGGTACACCTTGCCCCCACCATCACAACTCCTTACCCCTCTTCCCAACAGGCCCTGAAAAAAGACCCTTCTCCTAGACAATCCTGAATCCTTTCCCTTGTGTTTTCTCTGTTCAGGGCAGAGGAGCAATAATTCGCTACTCCCCCATACGGTCAATCTCTGGTTACTCAACACCTGTATGTGTTCAGGGGGAATAGTTCCTTCCCCCACAAAAAAATTAGTCCTGAGATTAATTCATGAGAAAATTAGTCAAAATGGCCATGGAACATGAAAGCCGCCATGCAACTTCAACCAACTGATAAAATCCAGCTCAAAACATGAACACACCACAAAAACTGCTTTGATATGTCCACTGGCATTTACTTGGGGTGGGAGAGAAATTGTGCCTGACTTCAACTCCATTTTCACCAATGGGAAAGTTTTGCAAGATGGACCATTTTCACAGAAGCCTGAAAATGAAAACTAGGCTAATTTTAAGTGTTTTTTTTTAATTTTTTAACAAATTTTTAAAACAGTCCTGCTAAAAACGAGTCACTTCCAGCTTTTGTCAATACCTGTGACTATGTTCTGCCAGCCAAATTACTTTTAGAAATGTGAAAAATACCAGCATAGAAGCAATCTAGATGATGAAAGATTATAACATCAAAATAATCATTTCAGTAGGATGACAATACCACTACATATTTTAAAAAAGAGTTATGATAAAAATAGGTTTGCTTTATTTGTGCCTTACAGGACTATCCTGGCTCTAGAGCAGGGGTTGGGAACCTTTGGCACGCAGCTCGCCAGGGTAAGCACCCTGGCGGGCCGGGCCGGTTTGTTTACCTGCCACATCCGCAGGTTCGGTCAATCACGGCTCCGACTGGCCGTGGTGCGCCGCTCCAGGGGGGCTGCGGAAAGCGGCGTGGGCCGAGGGATGTGCTGGATGCGGCTTCCCGCCGCCCCCATTGGCCTGGGACGGCAAACCGCGGCCAGTGGGAGCCGTGATCGGCCGAACCTGCGGACGCGGCAGGTAAACAAACCGGCCCGGCCCGCCAGGATGTTTACCCTGGCGAGCCGCGTGCCAAAGGTTGCCGACCCCTGCTCTAGAGTTTAGCACAACTAAACAGATTAGCAGCACTGCCTTGGGGATTTTAGTGTGAAATTTCATTAGTACTAGCCTGATGATGCAATCAAAGTGCAAAACGTATTGTTCATGGGATTACCCATTTAGAGAGGAAATGTGTTTATTCCTATTAGAACATAACATCATAATTCGCTTGTGTCTTTGTCACTCAAGGTGATTTGTTGACCACAACCATCATTATTTATCACCCTGTCTCTAATTGGCCTTTTTTGGGGACATTTATTCACAGTGTTGTTGCAGCCATCTACGTCCCAAGATATGAGAGACAGAAGATGTGTGAGGTAATTCCTTTTACTGGACCAGCTTGAGAAAGAGATGGTGAATTAACTTTGGAATCCTCAAGATCTCCTTGAGCCCTGCGAATCAGGTTTGTGGCTTGGGTAGGATCCAGAATCTACTTTCTCTGCTGCCAGTTGTGGGGCCGAGCATCTTAAGCTTTAGTTGTTATTTATCAACGAATGGATTTCTATAAAAATTAATTATAAGCAGGCCATGATCTCTTGGTATAGCCCAGAGACATTTGTAAGCACAAATGTCGGTTGTTTATTTTGCCATAAAATACTTAATGGGCAAATTTCAGTGTTTTATTGTAATGGTTTTGACCTCAGTGAAAAACTCATAAGACTCCTTTGCTCCCTCCCTGCCTATCCCTGAGGCTTTCATCCCACCAAATGGCAAGTTCAGTTCCCTGACTAGCCAGCAGTTGGTCCACACCAGGCCAGCTTGCAGTCTCTTCGCCACACGATGAACACGCCCCACATCGCTTGACCATATCGTGGCTGCCAGGCCATACTTGACACCATTGGCTCTTTTAATCACTTCCTCTTCCGTATCAAACAGTACCACACACGTCACAGGACCAAAGATCTCTTCTTGCATGCAGCAGGATTCATCCTTGACTTCAGCAATGACCGTAGGCAGCATGAAATAGCCATTCTGATTTCCAGTTGGAAGAACCAAAGAATCCACTCCTTCTCCACAGAGAATTCTAGCCCCTTCAGCTCGAGCCTTCTTCACATAATTCTTTACCTGGGGGAGGGCAAAACGTCAATGTGGGAGACTGAAAATGCTGTAAAGTTCACATTTTCAATACAAGATAAATCAACAGGTAATCTAGGAGCATTTCCCACTGACCCATGTTGGCATTTTCCCCCTGCCAATGACAAGGTCTCATTCCCTAGGTTTTGCAGCCAAGTATATGTAAAAAGAAGTCAGAGCATTTTTCCCTGTAAGTAAAGTATTCCCTTTCTCTCATTAACCTGCTAGCCAAAACATGAATTTGTTCCTTCCTCTAAATCGTTTTGAAGGGGTGGAACGATAGTCACATTATTAAAGCATAGAAGACCTGACTCCTATCCTTTATGTGTTAAAGACTTTCCCTATGACCCTGGGCAGCACACCACACCTCTCTTTGCGTCACATGGGAGTGATTACCTTTTCCTGCCATACAAGGAAGCTCACTACATGTTGTCACAGTACTCAGACGCTACAGCGATGAGCACAACAGAAAACACGATCAATAAACCATTACAACAATTTATGTGGTTGCTGCTATCATATGCTATCTTGAGCATACAGGTCATGCTACTGATCTTGTTCTATCTACAGCTTTGAAACTACTGGGTGCTTTCTCCCACTCTAGGAATTCCACAGATAAATCACTGAGTTTTTTTCGCTCCTTTCTTTTAAATGCTCTGTGTGAAAGAAGCACTGAAAGGTGCCCAGAGAGACTCCCTGGGACTCAAGTCCTCCATGTAGCCACAGAACAGGTACAGCATAGGCAGCGACAGTGTAGGGTAATCCACCAATATGTCTCATCACTGACCTGGAGGGCCCAGCACTAGGGCCCAGAGGAAGAGATCAGTCTCTTTGCCTATTTGAATCTTCTCTTTTGTGCGAGTTTGTCAGCATGTTCCACTGATGCAAATGGCATGCGCTGGTGTTTTAGGATATGGACACCTGATCTCCAGAACACTGACTGAGACCATTATACTCATTTCACATCAACCACCCAACAGCCACCAGATGGTAACTACTGTCATCCACTCATGGCCTAAGCGGAATTCCTGGAACTTGTGGACTACAAGTCTCCATGTATATACCATTACCAATTCCTCCAAAGCCACTCAGTATCCTAGATAAACTCTGCTTTTACATTCCTCAGTAGTTGCATTATAAATCAGATATACTGCAATCTAAATACACCTTGTTTTATGAGGCAAATAAGTCATCATGGGCCCAACACTTAAGTCAATGAAAATGTTGCCTGATTTGGCACTGTTAGATTCATTTAAGTACTTTCACAATAACAGCTTGACCGCTTAGTTTAAAATTATTTGTTCGCAGACTTTATTTTTCCTGGGGCGATGTGAACCTAACCCATACACAGCAGATACCTTAATCATCAGACACTTTTAATGATCATTTATGGGGAAATGACAGTGCGATTGGCATGGTACTAACACAGAAGATGACATGGTCCTCACCCCAGTCATATACAAGTCATCTTTTCTGGATCTCTAAAATGTGACTATAGTTCAGGCAGGATTTCCTCTGCAGTTACCTTTTCTAAATGTTCTTTACTTATCAGTGCCCCCATACTGGACGTGGGATCTGAGGGGCTCCCAACCTTCCACTTTCTGGCTTCTTCTACAAACCTCTTCAAAAACTCATTATAAATGCTCCTCTGAACAAAGATCCTGCTGGTGCAAAGACAGATTTCACCCTATCAAACATGAGGAGAGAAACAAAAATACTGTCAATTATTGCAATACTGTTACTTCTGAGTGCCCAGAAATGTGCTAGGCCCCTCACAAAACACGTAAAGACAGTCCCTACCCCACAAAGAGCCCAAACTAAATTTAAAGACACTCAAAATTGAGAGTCCTAAACAGACTGGAGGGGAGAAGGGGAGAAAGAGGACACAGGGACAATAATAAAATCATGCGGTCACTCAATAAGGGATGTAGACATCTTGACTGTTGAGTTTATTATTAAGTCTTGTTTTTTTTATCCTCCCCAACACTTCCCACAGAAACATTACTTTCCATGTCTGAATGATCACTACCTTGACATCATGGAAATACTTTTTCCCCCCCTGACTTGCCAAGTTATCTTCATACCCACTGAAATAATTTTCATAGGCTTGCTGATCATTGCTGAAGATGTTCACAAAGAATGGGAGCATCTAGTAGTTGGATCAGGGGACTGGAATTCCTGGGTTTTATTCCTGTCTCTTGTATAAACTCATTTGATTCTGGGGAAGTCACCTGATCTCTCAGTTGTTTCCATCTAGATAAATTACTTATCCTCCTAGAAAGTCAATAAGTAATTTGTTTCCTATGGAGGACTGTAAAGTGTGTTGAGATATTTGAATGAAAGACACTGTAGAAGATCAAATTATTTACTATCATTGTTTCTCTGCTCATGAAATCATGAAAACATCAACTTCATACGTTTTTACTTACATTCTGCTAATGATATGGAATCTTAACAAAATACCGTTGACTATTTAAGAGTCAGACAAGCATAAAGGCACGCACACATTGCTCTTTACACACTTAATATGTAACAAGGTGAAGAGAGGAGCATCTCCCTTTACCTGATTTGCAAAGCTGGATCTCACAGTGGTAGGGATGCATTGGTCCAGATTAGCATCCTCAAAGATGATTGCAGGGTTCTTGCCTCCCAGTTCCAGAGAGAGCTTTTTGCAGTGTGGGGCACTCCTCTCCCTGATGTGCTGGGCCGTGAGCGTGCTTCCAGTGAAGGAGATCAGTGGCACATCAGGATGCGAGACAATAGCCCTCCCAGCTTTGGGGCCAGTTCCAAACACAATGTTCACCACTCCTGGTGGGATTCCTCATGGGAACAAACACACAAAACACTCATGTCCTTTACTTTGAGGTAGTTAGGTTAATTTTGCACTCCCCTCAGAAGCCAGCAAACTACTACTAATAGTGCTACATTAACGAGGATGCCCTTGACTTTAAGAGTGGTTGAGCAAAATAGGAGAAATAACTAGATAAAACACTGAACTATTGGGTTTTAATCTCTGTTCTTGTATTAGTACAGGTGGAGCTGGTAGCTCTGCCAATAGTTAAGGTTGCCTGACACCTCCCATTATAAGGCCCAGTTTTCAGTGGGATATAACTTATGCCAAACTTTCACCATTAGGTCTGAAATTTTCCATGCTGGGTGTCTGCTTTAGGCTGATACATTTTTCTTTTCTTTTTTTTTAAGTTTCAGCAAAAGCAGTTCAACAGTTCAGCCATTTCTGAGAATTAATTTAAGAAAAAACTCATTGTTTTGCCTATGTTAAAGATATTCCTTCAACCATTTTCTCGGAAAGTTCTAGTGCCTGCATACTTGGGGAGAGGGACTTGAAATTTGGCAGGGAAGTCCCTTTGGTGTCAGAAATGTGCCTTTTGCTGGTGCTGTGAAAAGCTGCGCCCATCAGGACAAGTTATAAGACACTGAAAAAAATCTGCACATGGTCAGTGGAGGCTTGTTAACTGTGAATCTTTACTAAGAAAAAAAGCGTATTCTTAACTCGAGCTGGCTAACATGAACTAAAATCAGTGACGAGAAGGGTGTTTGCAGCTTTCACACAAGTTAGCAGGTTGAACTGAAGACTACAGGGTAGCCTAGGGATTAACTTGACCTGCTAATTTGTATGAGGACCACTAAGTGCCTTGTCTTCACTAGGATTTTACCTTGTGTTAGTTAACTGGAAGTAGCCAGTTTTTCTTAGTGACGACACAGCCTTAGAGTTTGGCAGCTCTATTCTCTGAAGCTTCCATCTGTACTGAGCATGCTTCAACCTGGGGATACAGGGGCAGAGCAGCACTTTCTCTGCAATTGCTGCTCCCAGCTACTGGGGACCAATGTGGCACCAGGCACAGGAACTGAGAACAGAGACTTTTTCCTATGCTCTCCACTTTCCCCCTGCTGGCGCTCAAGCACTGTGGAGGGAGAAACAGCCTAAATGGAATGCAGAGGTTAGGTGAAAGGAATAGATGGGGATGAGGAGATGGTGGCAGGGGGAGGGAAGATATAGGAAGGAGGCAGGGATAGAATTTAGTTCTCCAGGGCAGAATTCAACTGCCTTAACCCTGTAACCTTCCTTATCCTCCCGCAATCCCCTGCCTCATTCACTGCACCTTCCAACTTCTCCAACAAAGGAGGCAACAGACAGCAGGGGTCCCTGTGCTGAAGGCATTTCCAAATTACCTGCTCTACCCAGAAGTTTGCACATCATCCAAGCAGTGACAGATGTCATCTCACTGGGCTTGGCAATGACAGTGTTTCCAGATGCTATGGCTGGGGCTATTTTCCAGGTGAGCAAGTAAAGTGGCAAATTCCAAGGACTTATTAAACCAGCTACAAAGGAAAAAAGAAAAGGACAAAATCAAGAGGCCAAATGTATTGGGACAGAAGATCTGAATCTGATGCCCAGGCTTGGGACCTCCTACCCTGATGGAAGCCAAAGCTTCGGTATGGCCGGACAATAAAGGAAATTTTACACCCCTACCTTATTCTTCGTGGTACAGTGAACCCTACAATAAGGGCCATTTCTAATGGCCAACGCCTTCTAAATAACCTGTCTAAACTATGCCAAACATTTACAGTGCAAATATATTTGACCACCTCAACTGGACAACTGATTTTTGGTGTACTTTTGTCCCAGCGTAGCAGAGAGATATTGAAGTAGGAGCTTTTTCATGCTCTACAGACAGGTCCAGGTGTTCAGAATTCACAATTCAATGATATATGCAAATTGAAAATTTTTGTTTTGTTTTGTTTAACAAATATGCATCAATTGCCACTTCTGGCTCTTGTCAAACATTAGAGCTGAGTGCATCATGCACAATGAATAATTTACCTGATGAATTTAGTCCAGAATAATAATGAACAGACTGACTTCCTCAAATTGCAGTGCTATTTAAATTTATTCAATGACTATCTTCATGAATATTTTTACTTTGTGTATTTATCACAAATATTTGAAACCCAAGCTGTGAGGCTTAGTTGTGAGTGGTCATGTGATACTCCTTGTTGCTAGATAGGTCCATTAATGGCTATTAGCCAGGATGGGCAGGGATGGTGTCCCTAGCCTCTGTTTGCCAGATGCTGGGAATGGGCGACAGGGGATGGATCACTTGATGATTACATGTTCTGTTATTCCCTCTGGGGCACCTGGCTTTGGCCACTGTAGGAAGACCGGATACTGGGCTAGATGGACAGTATGGCCGTTCTTATGATTGAATGAGAGTGAACAGAGTTCCAATACAAGCACATGTAATGAATTTAAAATTTGATGTCTGAGTATTTTTGGTCAGTAAGACTCAGATTCTCATGGGAAGAGAACTAAACAGGTCAAATTTATTAAACAAATGTATTAAATAATCAAACTGGTATTAAAATATTTGCATCATTATTCATATAGCTCTAAAACAACACATGTATTCAAACTTTCTCTGACGTGACAGTGCCATCTTGTGGCTAGCTTTCCAAAAATAATGGATATAAATATGTCAAGTATCAGGAGGTAGCTGTGTTAGTCTGTATCCACAAAAACAACAAGGAGTCCGATGGAACCTTAAAGACTAACAGATTTATTTGGGCATAAGCTTTTGTGGGTAAAGAACCTCACTTCTTCAGATGCATGGAGTGAAAATTACAGATGCAGGCATTATTATACTGACACATGGAGAGAAGGGAGTTACCTCAAAAGTGGAGAACCAGTGTTGACAGGGCCAAATCGATCAGGGTGGATGTAGTCCACTCCCAATAATAGATGAGGAGGTGTCAATTCCAGGAGAGGCAAAGCTGCTTTTGTAACGAGCCAGCCACTCCCAGTCCCTATTCAAGCCCAGATTAATGGTGTTAAATTTGCAAATGAATTTTAGTTCTGCTGTTTCTCTTTGAAGTCTGTTTCTGAAGTTTTTTTGTTCAAGAATAGTTACTTTTAAATATGTTATAGAATGACCAGGGAGATTGAAGTGTTCACCTACTGGCTTTTTGTATGTTACCATTCCTGATGTCCGATTTGTGTCCATTTATTCTTTTACATAGGGACTGTCCGGTTTGGCCAATGTACATGGCAGAGAGGCTCTGCTGGCACATGATGGCATATATAACATTAGTAGATGTGCAGGTGAATGAGCCCTTGATGGTGTGGCTGATGTGGTTGAGTCCTCTGATGGTGTTGCTAGAGTAGATATGGGGACAGAGTAGGCAACGAAGTTTGCTACAGGGATTGGTTCCTGGGTTGGTGTTTCTGTGGTGTGGTGTGTAGTTGCTGTATTTGCTTCAGGTTGAGGGGTTATCTGTAAGTGAGGACTGGCCTGCCTCCCAAGGTCTGTGAGAGTGAGGAATCATTTTCCAGGATAGGGTGTAGATCGTTGATAATGCGCTGGAGAGGTTTTAACTGGGGGCTGTACGTGATGGCCAGTGGTGTGCTGTTATTTTCCTTGTTGGGCCTGTCCTGTAGTAGGTGATTTCTGGCTACCTGTCTCACTCTGTCAATCTGTTTCCTCACTTCCCCAGGTGGGCATTGTAGTTTTAAGAATGCTTGATAACGATCTTGTAGGTGTTTGTCTCTGTCTGCGGGATTGGAGCAAATTCGGTTGTATCTTAGGGCTTGGCTGTAGACAATGGATCGTGTGATGTGTCCTGGATGGAAGCTGAAGGCAGGTAAGTATAGCGGTCAGTAAGTATCCGGTATAGGGTGGTGTTTATGTGACTATCACTTATTTGCACTGTAGTGTCCAGGAAGTGGAGCTCTTGTGTGGATTGGTCCAGGCTGAGGTTGATGGTGAGGTGGAAATTGTTGAAATCCATGTGGAATTCTTCAAGGGCCTCCTTTCCATGGGTCCATATGATAAAGATGTCATCAATGTAGCGCAAGTAGAGGAGGGGCGCTAGGGGACGAGAGCTGAGGAAGCGTTGTTCTAAGTCAGCCATAAAAATGTTGGCATACTGTGGGGCCATGCGGGTACCCATAGCAGTGCCACTGACTTGAAGGTATAAGTTGTCCCCAAATCTGAAATGGTTGTGGGTGAGGACAAAGTCACAAAGCTCAGCCACCAGACGTGCTGTGGCCTCATCAGGGATACTGTTCCTGACAGCTTGTAGTCCATCCTCATGTGGAATATTGGTGTAAAGTGCTTCCACCTGGATTTCAACAATTTCCACCCCACCATCAACCTCAGTCTGGACCAGTTCACAGAAGATTTTGAGGATGGGAAATGTCCTACCGTGGGAAGAAGGAACTTTTTAGAATAAATGTTGTAATTGTTCACTGATTTTGCAGTATGCAGGTGCCAGAGTTCACAGTGGAGTATCCAAGCTTAGCAAGGGATCTAGAAGCAGTAAACATTAACTTTATGATAATCCTTTCTCCCCCCTGCCCTTGAAAATGCTGCCTGAAGTTAAAAAAATAAGCAGCAGAGCTCAAGGCCCCCCCTTTTCTTATTTTTTCCCCTCTCTTGGCAGACAGTCTGCCAAGCTTTTCAGCATTTGTCCTTTGAGAATACCCACCAATGCCTACTGGAGTTCTCACGGTGTAATGCATACAGTCCATGTGGTCCATCTGAGTGCATTCTGTGGTATGGTGAAGGACAGAAGATGCAAAGAACCGGAAGTTGTATGCTGCCCGTGGGATATCCACTGTTCTAGCGAATGTAATTGTTTTTCCTGAAAGAGAAAAGTAACAAGTATGCCGTTGTGTCATCAACATGCACTTTATCCCCGGGGAAAAACTAACATTTATATAATGCCATAAGTGTGCACACTGCTGTAAACACACAGGAAGACAAGCATCTGCCCTGAAGAGCCTCCAAATCAAACTGGAGCCCTGAACTAGGATTCCTACCCACTACCTAGGGAAGAACTTTGTTGGAGATGAGAAATGGTGAGGTAATTAGATGCCTGAAAAGCATCATGAATAGCATAAGTACAAATTATAGCATAAACAGCCATTTAGATTATAAGCTCTTTGGGGGCAGAAACCATGTTTTTGTCGTGTGTGCACACATTGTGCCCGGCACAATGAGGTCCTGGATTCCTGTCTGGGAGCCTCTTGGCACACTACCACTATAGATTAGATAGATGATTTTATAGTACATCCATAGGACTGGTAATGCTTCGTTCATCGACAGCATCCTCTGTCTGGGGACCTCAAAGTGCTTTATGAATATTGATTAAATTTAGCCTCAGCCCCTTTGTGCCGCAGGTATTGCCATCCTTATTTTGTAGAGAAGGAAACAGAGGCATGGAGGAGTTAAGAGGCCCACATTTTCAAAACCAGCCTCAAGTATTGAGTGTCCAACTTTAGAAACATAGCACCTCTGAAAATCAAACCCAGGGACTGTCTAGTTAGGCACACAAAATTTGTGGCAACTTTAAAAATTTGGCTCTAACTGACCCAATCATACCGACAGCCTTCATTAGAGTCAAGAATAGGACCTGGCCATTGTGACTCTGTTGTGATATTTAACAAGACCCTCCTTCTCTATAACCTCATTTGGGGACGGACAGCCAAAGAGATGGACAAATTGTGCCGTTACCTTGATCTTTTGATTCTGCTTGTGCAAATGCCTCCAGGTCATGCTCTATCAGGTCCGCTAACTTGTTCATTATCTGAGATCTTTCCTGAGGACTTTTGGAGGACCAGCCTAGAAAGGCATCTCTGGCAGCGGTGACCGCAACTTCTACCTGAAAGAATAAAGCAGAGATGGCAAACTTCAAGAGTGCTTCATGGGGGGAAAACAATCAATAGAGCCATTGACATTTGAGAGAATAAGATCTTTTGAGTCAGTTTGTCCTTGCAGAAGACTGTTCCTGCCTTACATTATAGTCTCAGGCAGTGTGTCCAGTTGGCATCCCTCAATCTTCTCAAGAGACAACCCACAATCTAACCAACATTATTAAGAGGGCATTTTTTCTTGATACTCTGCCTAAAATTTAACTCTCTTGTTTCTTCTAGTTATACTCATTTTTTATCACTTCTTGATGCTTACAGCCTTCCATTTTTTGTGATAGTTACTTCTCTTTTCCTTTTGTCCCAGTCATTTAAACAAATGAAACATATTTAGTTCTTTAAAATCTTTCCTGTATGTCAGTCCCTCTCATCTGGCTAATCATTGCAGTGGTGCTTCTACAAATTCCTTCCAGTTTCCTGACATCTGTCTAGGAATATGGGAGTTGCCATACCAGATTAGACCCGTGGGCGATCTACTCCACCATTCTGTCTCCAGCAGTAGCCAAGACAAGATGCTTCAGAGGAAAGTGTAAGCAATACAGTTATGAAATAACCTGCCCAAAGGAAAAGTTTCATTTTAATCCTATCATTTGGAACTTCACTTATGCCCCAAACCAAGAGAATTTATCTCCCCTTCCAAAGCGCTTGGGTTTTTCATTCTTACTAGTGCGAGGTGCCCAGGACAGTACACAGCATCCCAGATGCAGCCTCATATATGGCCTATCTCAGTTCCTTCTAGGAACACTGCAGTACATTTTGCAGATGCAGGTTCCTCATTTGAGGCAGTGCCTCCCCCATTACCTTCTCTGACCTCTGCCAACCTCTGAGGAGGAAGGTAAGACAGAACCATTACCTCATCTATTCTGATCTCCTGTGTATCACAGGCTCTTAAATTTCACCCAGTTACCCCCATATTGAGCCCTGTTTGGCTAAAGCATGTCTTCTAGAAAAGCATCCAGTTTTGTTCTGAAGACATCAAGAGATGTAGTTGGTAGCTTGTTCCAATAGTTAATCACCCTCACTGTCAAGGCACACATTTTTATTTTCAATTTGAATTTGTCGAGCTTCAGCTTCCAGTCATTGGTTCTTTACCTTTCTCCACTAGATTAGACAGCCCTTTAATACCTGGTATTTTCTTCCCATGTAGGTACTTATACACTGTAAACCAGTCACCTCACAGTCTTCTTTTTGATAAGCTAAACAGACTGAGCTTCTTTAGTCTCTCACTGTAAGGCATTTTCTCCAGCCCCTAAATCATTTTTGTGGCTCTTTTTTTTATACCCACTCCATTTATTCAACATCCTTTTTAAAATGTGGACACCAGAATTGGATTCCTGAATCAGTATCACTAACGCCGGTTATAGAGGTGAAATCACCTCCTTACGCCTATGGGCTACTTCTCTACTTATACATCCAAGGATCACCCAAGCTTCGAATGGCTTGTTGGTCTAGGGGTATGATTCTCACTTAGGGTATAAGCAGTCCTGTGTTCAAATCCTGGACAAGCCCTTTTTCAGGCTGGAAAGAGATGTAAATCTTTAACAGTGACAGTAATTATCCATTGGAACAATGTACCAAGGGTCACGATGGATTCACCATCAATGATAATTTTTAAATCAAAATTGGATATTTATCTAAAAGATCTGCTCTAGAAACTATTTTGGGGAAGTTCGGTGTGGTATAGGAGAGCAGACTAGGTGATCACAATGATCTCTTCTGATCTTGGAATCTATGACTCTATGAAGCCCTTTTTTTGCCTCAGCGTCACACTGGAAGCTCACATTGTTACTTGTCCTCTATGCCTCTGAGATTCTCTTCAGAGTCACTGCTTTCCAGGATAGAGCCCGCATTGCGTAGGCCTTCATTCCTTACCTCTAGAGATATTACTTTCATTTGGCTGTACTGAAAAATTTTGTTGGAATAGAGCCAGCTTCGCCAGCAATCCAGATAGCTCTGTACGACTGTCCCATCCTGACTCTGCTAATCGTTGTGTCATCCACAAATTTTACCATCAGTGATTTTATATTTACGCCCAGATCATTGTTGAAAATTTTGAATTGCATCAGGCCTATTACTGATCCCTGCAGAACTCCATTAAAAATACCCCCAGTTGAACGATTCCCCATTGATGACTATCTTTTTGATATCTGTCAGTTAGCCAGTTTGTAGTCTATTTAATGTCTGCTTATTGACATTGTATAGTGCTAATTTTTTAATCAAAATGTCATACACTATTACATCAAATGCCTTACAAAAGTCTTGTACATCTAGGCACTTACCATTATCAACCAAACTTGTAATCTCATCAAAGAATGAAATAAGGTTTGCTTGTCAGGACCTATTTTCCATAAAGCCATGTTAAATGGCATCAATTATATACCTATCCTTTAATTCTTTATCATCTGATTCCCCCCATCAGCTTTTCCATTATTTTGCCTGGGATTTATATCAGGCTATAGTTACTGGGTTATCTTGCTTGCCCTTTTTGAATATTAGCGCATTAGTACGCTTCCAGCCTTCAAGAATTTCTCCAGTGTTCCAAGATATAATTGTGACGGGTTGGATCACAGAAACCCCCTTGGGAGCTGCCACCTGATCTGCAAAGACTATCTCTGCTCCTGTTTTCCCTGCCAGCTCAGGACTCCAGCACCCTGTCTTGCTGAGCAAGACACCCCTGTCTGCTCCAACACAGACCCAGGGTCTGAATCACTTGCCCCAAAGCTGCAAGTTTACCTGAAAACAGCTCACAGAAGTTTGCTTGTCTTTAGCACTCAGATGCCCAACTCCCAATGGGGTCTAAACCCAGATAAATCCATTTTACCCTGCATAAAGCTTATGCAGAGTAAACTCAAATTGTTCGCCCTCTATAACACTGATAGAGAGATATGCACAGTTGTTTGCTCCCCCAGGTATTAATATATACTCTGAGTCAATTACGAAATAAAAAGTGATTTTATTAAATACAGACAGTAGGATTTAAGTGGTTCCAAGTAGTAACAGACAGAACAAAGTAAGTCACCAAGTAAAATAAAATAAAATGTGCAAATCTATGTCTAATCAAACTAAATACAGATAAGTTGCTCACCAGTTCCAGAATGCTCCCTTTTACAGGCTAATCTCTTTTTAGCCTGGGTCCAGCAATCACTCACACCCCCTGTAGTTACTGTCTGTTTGTTCCAGTTCCCTTCAAGTATCCCGGGGAGGGGGTGGGGGGGTGGAGAGGCTCCTTCCTTAGCCAGCTGAAGACCCCCAAATGGAGGGGTCTCCCACGGGTTTAAATAGACTCTCTCTTGTGGGTGGAAACCCCCCTCCTCCCTCCTATGCAAAGTCCAGTTCCAAGATGGAGTTCTGGAGTCACCTGGGCAAGTCACATGTCCCTGCATGACTCGGTCTTTACAGGCCGAAGCCATTGTCCACATGGTATCTTGCATGTCTCCAGGAAGACTTCTTATGTGGATTGGAGCATTCCAAG